ATTGATCAGATGGGCAAGTTGTCCAATGAAGGTGAGAGCTAGTGTGTTGACATTAGTGACAGGTAGGTTGATATGAGTAGTAACATTTGTGTAGAGTGTGTGGGACAGGAAGTTCATCCAATAAAATTTTAATTCTAAAGAACTTAAGAGTAGATGATTGAAAGCTATGTGAGAAGTTTGAAATTTTTTGGTTGTTGTTGATGTACAGAAAAGTGGCTTGCCAGTTGATTTGGTTAAGAATTTTTTCCTATTTAAGAAAGCAGTTTTAAGTAGTTCATAGTGCATAAATATGTGCATAACAAATTGTATAAATACTGTAACAAGTTGGTAGTTCAAGAGAAAAGTTCTTAAGAATAAGAGTATCTCTTAAACCGTCCATTTTAGCAGACAAATTTGTCTGCTAAAATTGGTAAAAAAAATTTTAATATGAGTAAAAAAAATTTTATAAAAATTTTTGCTCAAATTGGCTAGAATAATTCTTGGGAGCTTAGATCATATGACAGTAACCTGATTTTAGTATTACATGTGCCATGAAACAAAACAAATATTGCATAGTTTGTGTGACTTGATTTTGTGTTTTCAAAATTGTAAATAATTTTATATGAACCTAAATTTCAGGTTTTCTAGACAGATTTGACCCCTATATTTTTAAATGAAGTTAATAATATGGCTATTAATTTAAATTTTTTATTTAAAGCTAGAATTCCAATAGCATCGAATTGAAATTTTAGGGTTATCAGTCAGTTGATATTTTGCAGATCAAAATTTAATGTTTTTGAGTTTTAAATTTAGAAGATTAATTTGTATAATATTAGCTTTAATACTATTATTAAATTGATCAATAAACTAATAAATTAAATATTTTAGTAATAAAATAAAATTGGCATACTATTAAAATAAAAAAAAATTTTTTTAAAAAAATTTTTTAATTTTAATTAAATTTTTTTGTTCATCATTTTTGGTCCATGGGACCACTTCGCCCACCCACCTACCTATCAAACTGTTGTTTTATTCACTTAATAATTTCTTGTTTTCAAGGTGAAAGCCAAGAAAACAATTTTGATTACTGTTACAACAGAGCGGCACATTATATGACAAAAACCAAACCTTACTTGTATTTGGTGTTTTGCAATCCATATTCAATTGTTTAGTGCTTGCCAGCCAAGCACACCACCGGCATGCTTCTCAATGGTCTTTCTACACTGCAAGGTGATTTCTCAGTGCCAAACGATGATCTGAGAGTTTAAAATGCTTTGTGACCTTTGATGGTTTCTTTTTTTCTTTTGAATTTGATTGCAATTTTTTTTCTTTTGAATAATCTCTTAATTGAACTTTGCTACCATTATTTGCAAAGTCAATAAGACCCCAAACAAGATTATTATGAAATTGTTTATGCCCTTGCATAGATTCTAAATTTCTTGTGATAAGATATGCATTAATATTAGCAATATCTAACAGCCAAAAAAAAAGTGTCATCCAATTTCACTACATACTTTGTTGGGTGTTATAGTAGGATCATAATTAATTAGCAACATCCACACCATTCATATGGTGGTTGTAGTCATCAATTACCTTTGGTATTTTCAAATTTTTTTTTGGATCAGATCTAAAAACTGCATGTACCTTCATCATATTGGTACTTGTTTCTCTTGGTCTTCGTCTTTCCTGTTCTATTTCTCACTCTTTACTCACAAGACTATATATTGGTAGCAGCATTGTAACTGGCCCATTGTCTTGTCAGAAAATTGTCAACACGCTATCAACTTCAATACCTGAACGAATATCCCAATCAAATTTAATATCTTTATCGATTTTTAATTTTTTTGGAAACCTGAATGCTGTTTTTCAGACAGTTCTGCAAGCTCCAACTCCCATTTGTCAAAGTTGTTGAAAAAGAGGAACATTACTAAAGTAATTATCCATATATATATCATAGGGGAACTGCAAGTATGGAAGTTGCCTAACAAGATGAAGAACCAAAGATCTAGTTTGATTAAGACCATCCATGTTTGTCACATTATTTGGTAAAACACGTAATGATGGTAAAAAAGTGTAGGTGTATCCAGCTTCGCATAATGAAAAAATCTTAAAACCTTTTGAAATGGGCTTACTTTTTATTTGGACTGTGTGAACACTTCTTCTTGAAAATCTGATCATTATTTTGTCTACTGAAATGGTTGAACTCAGGATGTAATATTGTTTTGAAGCATCATGAATGCTTGAAAGTAATAGTTCTAATTTTTCAAAATAATGTTTAAGTGTTAATGCATGGGCAAGGGGAGAAATGTGCAGAAACCTTTTGATCAACTCAAAGTGCTTCAATGATATTTGTTTTGATATATGGTGGACAGGAAGTTTTGGATCCTTATTCCAGTACTGGCCGAGAGACAGAAGCTTAAAAAGTCTCTGATAAACTACAAGGGCAACCCACACAAAAAACTCCTTACAGGTCAAGTTTTTCCAGCATCTACCAATAGTTCTAGCACCTTTCACTAATGCATATGCATTTGTATTTGTAACATTATATTAAACATGAAAATTGTAAAGAAAAGAAAAAAAATCAATTGTCCTAGAAACACCAACATTGATATGTGGTGGTAACCTAACACTCGCATAATGCAATGGACTTTGATGAACCAGTGGTTCAAAATTGGAAGGCAGTGATGGTAGCTTGGAAGCTTGTTTACGCTTTCTTTTTTGAACATATTTAATGTCTGTTGTATCATTATTATTATCTTCATCCTCTGATTCTGGGGACTTAAAATATTTCTCCAATAAGTCAAAATTGGCATATATTCTTTCTCATAACATATGTCTTTAAATTTTCAAAATAAGATGATGATGACAAACTTGAAGGTAAACTTGATGATGAACTTGGTGCACCTGATTTTTTTGTTTTTGGAGTCATAAATTTTTTTTTTTTTTTTTTAGTGATGTGCAGAACGATTTTGTAGCAAAGAAATTTTTTGGGTAGGTGATTTTAAAGTTACATAAACATTGCATCATTTCATATAAGAGATGTCACAAGATGAGAAATGATTGGTGATATGTTAAACTTTAATTTTAGCTTAAGGATATAGAAGGTGAGGCTTAGGAAAATCAGGTGCACATGCACAAAAACTGGGTAAAAAAAATTTTAGCAGACAAATTTGTCTGCTAGATAGTTTAAGAGATAAGCTTGGTTATAAATATTATATGGCATAAAAGTAAGATATGGCAAGTTATAATAGTTACATGCAAGTTGATCAGTTAAATTATTATATATATTATCTTAATGAGCAGTGACTTTGTGAAAGATAATTTGAATTTTGTACGAGTTGATAAAGTTGCGAGTGTGTTCCAAAGTGAAAAGTATAGTGTATATGTATATGATAGAGTAGTAAAGAAATTTAAAAGTTTTGGTATTTTGAAATTACAGATTGAGAGTCTGTATATATATTTACAGTACAGTTTTTAGGGGAAGTAATAAAAGCTGATAAAATAGCAGTAAGTTCTGATTTGAATGAACATGACCAAAGTTTAACTTGTGCCTGAAATGTATACAATATAGAATTATTGTCGACTTGGACCCATCCAATGCCCATAGAGAATTAAGAAGTACTCAAATTTATAACAGAGTCATCAGTATAGAAATAGAGTTCTTGTTGGTTAGTGTTATAATTGGCAATTTGTTAGAGTTTATTAGTTAGTATACAGGGTTCAAAGATAGTTAGAATTGAGTTTGTTGAAATAAT